AGAGTAATTTGAGTAGGTTGGATTAGAATGTGGGAGTGGGGGATCAAGCTGTTAGCTGTAATGTGGATTTATTTTATGGTCTTTGACCTCTGATTCATTGTTTATCTTAAGGTGGGGTTGGGCAGGAATAATACAGTATGTATTTAGGTGACAAAACTATTACAAGGATAAAAGTCCATTAATCACGGGATGCTGGGTTGAGAGTTTCTGTTAACTATTTAATGGAAGCCGTATGTGAGATGAAAATTTATGTCTGGTTAAACATTTAAACAGAAGCTTCTAAAAATGGAAGTGGTGTAAAATGCTACATTCTGTGATATTTTTCTGAACTGATGAATTCCAGCAAAAATGAAGTCACAACAATACAATTGTTAATTTCATTCTCAAAAAAACATGGTACTTCTCCTGCATTCTAATTTTGGTGTTTATTCAAAGATCAGTCTAATATCTTTCTGGAAGTCTTAATAACTTTAATGCACCAATTGTGTCCATTTATAGTATTGTTCCAGTTATGCCACTCTGATTTCATGAAAGAAATGCTTTATAGAAGAATAATTTCTATTTGCTTCAGTATAGACTAATAAAGAAGTTTGCTCTTGAAAAAACTGAGAAAAAATACTTAAGACTGAAGATTTGGTATAATAAATATGTTTTGCTTTTAAAAACTTGATAAGGGCTACCCTTTAATTTAATTTCATGTTCCACTGGTACATGATATTCGCACTAAGAAAAGTACAAATTCCGGTAATTTAATAACAATTTATTTTCCTTGGCTTGGAAGGTGACAAGCCACATTTTTTTTAAAAAAAACCTTGATAACATTTTTTTCTTTTAAAATTATACATGAAATTTCTAATACTAGTTATAAATTGTACATGTTATTTAGTGAAATATTATTACTTGTCGGGAAGACAATTAAAATCCTTATACTATGATAAACAAGCAACTTCTAGCCACTAAATAATTGGCATTTGGGGTGGGGGTGATTACTGGCCCCCAATTACCCTTCTCAGATATTATTTTCCATAATCTGCTTCCAGAGTTTGGACAAATCCAGTAGAACAGCATGAGATGTGTAGTTAAATGTGTAATAGCTAAAAATGATTACAGTAAATGATTGCTGTTTAGAGAAAGAAGACCTTTCCAACTGATCAAACTAGCCCTTCTGATTGAGAGATGATGGTCAGAATACAACTTTTTGTGCATTAATGTTGGATAATTAAATGGATATATTTAATATCTCAGTCCATATTATCCAACCATAATTTTAAAGACTATCAATTAAATTTATGAACAATTGCCATCATTTGACATCTGTTAGAATTTTGCCTATATACCGGTACTTGACTCCAAACATTTTTGTAACTTCCATGAACAGGTTTCTAATACAGGCAGTGCCAGGAGAGGAAGCCTACATTTGCAATTAAAGGGACATTGCAATTAGTTAATCCACTGTGTTTTAATACAATACCAGAGTTATACTGGTTGGCCATCTCAACAAATTATATAAAATAAATACAAATTAAATATTCTCTTGATACTGTGCAGATTAGGCAAAAAGTTTAGGTCATGATATTATATGTGTTTGGTTTCTTAACATGTTGTCTCATCCCAGGCAATTGTGGTTTTCTTCAGCGATATCTGAACTACCGCAACTAAGTGTGTGCAAAACAATCAATACAGTTAGTCCTCACTTACTGACTACTATTCCAATTTATTTTATTTTATTCATTTATCAAATGTATATGCCACTCATCTCGCAATGCGAGGCAACATTGAGCAGCTTACAACATATGACCATTCATATGACCATTCAAAGTTACAATAGCACTGAAAAATGAGATTTCTGACAGGTCCTCAAAAGTTGTGGCCTTGCAGCATTTCCATGGTTATGTGATTAGGAATCAGGCACTTGTCAACCAACACATTTGATCACATGAAATTGTACTTAATGACCACAAATGATTTGCTTCACAGCCACAGCTGGAATTGATATACCTACGTCAGCATATAGTTATGTGACATTTCATTTTAAAGATGGGTCATTTAGTTTTGGAGTTGCCAGTCCCAACTGAGGTCAGTAAGTAAGAATTAGCTGCACAGATAATTCTCGACTTACAACAGTTCATTTACTGATCGTTCAAAGTTACGACGACATTGAAAAAAGTGACTTAACCGTAACAGCATCCCCATAGTCACATGATCAAAATTTGGCCGCTTGGCAACTAGCTCAGATTTATGACGGTTGCAGCGTCCCAGAATCATGTGTTTACCTTTTGCAACCTTCTGACAAGCAAAGTCAATGGGGAAGCCAGTTTCACTTAACGGACGTAACACTAACTTAACAATTGCAGTGACTCACTTAATAACCGTGGCAAGAATGGTCATAAAATGGGGCAAAATTCAATTAACAAATGTCTTGCTTAGCAACAGGCCAATTGTGGGCTGAATTGTGCTAAGTTGAGGACTACCTGTATAAAGAACACTGTTTCTACAACCAGCAGCCTCAAATCTAAACATATAGGTGACTGGTTCAGTTAGGTTTACTTCCAAATGAGCCACCACTTTTGGGGAACTTGTTTGAATTATCCTGGTGACTAAGAAAGCTGGCCCTCTTTCTCCTGAGGAAGCCGAAAGGTGATTCTGCTATTCACTACAGGTAAAGAAGGCTCCCCTCTACCTCACCCAGATTGCTATGATCACCCATTCAGGTTTCAGAGGGAAGGCAGTTGAGGTAAATCCTCTGGGGTTGCTAAGCAACCAGGAGGCACATGCCCTGGCCCTCTGCAAGCAGGCCCTTGGTACTGGGCCTATCCATCTGCCTCAATGGCCGCCACAGCAGGGCAAACCAGAGCCAGCTGCGACACTAGGAAGGCCACAGTAAAAGGACCCTGTGACCCACTGAGGGGTGGGTATTTCCAGTCCTTAAACCACATTTATTCTTCTCACTTTCCATTTTGGGGAACTGAACTGTAGTTCTGTACTTTACAAATTGTGCAGAATGGCTGAGCCGTTTTTAGAATGCCTGGGTTGCGCTGTAATTTTAAAGTGTATATGTTAATGGTAACATGTTTCATTACAAAAGTTGTCACAGCTGTTTTATTTAGCCAGGTTCTCTTCATTGCTCAAATGAAGTAAACATTGAGCAATATGAACGACAATGAATAATAAAATGAAATTCAATGGTGCAAAAAGTAAGATTGTGCATTTAGGCAAGAAAAACCCAAATGCAAAGGCACAGTATAGGTGCTACCTTGCTCAATAGTAGCAACTGTGAGAGGGTCCTAGTGGACAAATTTAAATATGAGCCAGCAGTGTGCAGCAGCTTCCAAAGAAGCCAACACAGTTCTAAGCTGAATAAACAGAGAGATAGAATGAAGATCACATGAAGTGTTAATACCACTTTATAATGCCTTGGTAAGGCCACACTTGGAATACTCCATTCAGTTTTGGTCACCACGATGTAGAAAAAAAGTGGAGACTCTAGAAAGAGTGCAGAGAAGAGCAACAAAGATGATTAGAGGAGGCAAAAACATATAAAGAACAGTTGCTGGAACTGGGTATATTCAGCTTCATGAAAAGAAGGACTAGGGGTAACATGATAGCAGTGTTCCAATATCTCAGGGGCTGCCACCAAGAAGAGGGAGTCAAGTTATTCTCCAAAGCACCTGAGGGCAGGATAAGAAGCAATGGGTGGAAAACAATCAAGGAGTGAAGCAATCTAGAACTAAGAAGAAATTTATTGACAGTTAGAACAATTAATCAGTGGAACAACTTGCCTCCAGAAGTTATGAATGCTCCAACACTATACATTTTTAAGAGATTGGATAACCATTTGTCTGAAATGGTATAGGTTTCCTGCCTAAGCAGGGGGTTGGACTAGAAGATCTCCAAGGTCCCTTTCAACTCTTCTATTCTATCCTATTCTATTTCAACAATGCTCCATCTTTTTATTTTTTTTAAGTGGGGGAGGCACCATTCCTATACCTTTTAAAAGATGGGTTTGGCAGTCTGGTGATAAAATAACAGTGAGAGCTTAATTTAAATATCCAAGAATAGTCCTAACAAAGTAAAGAAGTAGTATCGGTATCGCCTCTACTATATATGATATTCTCATGTTTGTAAAAATAATTGAATAAATGCAGTCTTATACAAGCTTACCTAAATTATCTTCTGCTATTCAGTGGGGTTTATATTCAAGTAAGTATGCCTGGGAGTGTATCACTAATTTGTTTCAAATATAGTCATTATTTTTTGGTTTCAAACAGCTTTGTCATGTGATGCACTTTTCTTTTGGATTCCATAATTAAAAATGTAGGCTAGAGGAAGGGCAGCATTCAAATTGTTCAATACTACTCTGCAAGCAGGATCTAAATGGCCATTAGGTACATCTTCTGAGCCCTACAGCTAAATTATTCCAGAGTTTTGATGGTACAAACTTATTTGTAGCTAAGGAAGTTTGAAGGACAGGGAAAATACACTGGGACTGGGGTGAACCCTGAGCTGGGATGCTGAGGGACAGAACTTTTCTGGAAACAAAGCAGCAGCAGTCTAAAGTTCAGATTCTGTCCCTATTTCATGCCAAAAAGTTTTGTCTCTTTAAGGTGGCTTGTCAAACGGCAAAGAATTTTGCAAACAGGCTTCTCCACCGTCCTCCCCTAACTCGAATGGTTAGGGAAAAAAATGAAGTTTTTCCACTCGACCTAATTTTAATAGCTATGCCAAATCTTCCTCCTCTTCTGCTTAAAATGGGGCTTCCCCCGCCTTTATAAATAAAAATAAATAAATATCCACTCCTGTAGAGGTTTTTAACCGGTTTTTCAAGCCCAGGCTTTGAATAGCGACAGCGGCGGCGGCGGCGGCAATAGCAGCCAGGGCTTTAAGAGTGAGTCACTGTTTGGAAATGGAGTGGGCGTGTGTTTGAATGTAAGAGAATGAATGATGTCAGGAAAAAGGCTGTGGTAGACAGAGGGAAGGTGGGGACAAGCAAAGAGCATGAAGCTGGCTGAAAACGGAACAGTGGCTTCAGAAACAGAAACGGCTTGCTCGCCTTTGGTCTCGTGTCTTCCTCTCCTCCTTCCAGGAGCCGCCCTCAGGCCGTGGAAAGCTCTCCAGCTGTTGCACGGCCGGCCTAACGGTCCACACGGCATTCCCCAGAGGCGGGGAGGGAAAGGTGTCCCGAATATAGAAGTAACGGGGTGGATGAAAACTGGGAGCGGAAGACGGAAGGTGGGCAAAGTTTCTTCTAGCTGTTTCTCCTTGCGGCTATTAGCCCGGAGATAGGAGTGTCCCTGTTCGTAGCCAGACGGAGCGGCAAGTACTAAAGAAGCCTGGAAGCTCTAAAAAGAACTAGTTTATGCTGGGTGTTGGAAGGCTTTGAGTTCCTATTCTGAGGCTGTTGCCTTCGTTTAAGCGAGAGAGAGCGAGAGAGAGAGAAGAGGTAAGTTTAAGAACTTGATGTGTCAACCAGAGGTTTAGTTCTGGATAAGGAAAAATGATGCTTCAATTGCTTAGTGTGTTTTCCTTTTAAAGAAAAAGTCAAAGAGCAATTCTTAGGTTATTGGCAAAGAGCAAGTTTTTTCTGCTGTAACATATTTAATAAGAGGAATTCTCCTAATGAAGCTGACTTTCAGAGAAGTTTTTTTTTTTTTTTTACAATTTTCTGTGTAGGTTAAAAGTTGTGAAGTACTGTCAAGTATGTTTTCATTAAGGAACTTCCAAAACAGCCAGAAACTTGTTACAAAATATTATAAACAGTTAAATATAGACATTTCCTTTGGAAACATCTCTTAGAGGTAGAATAGTTCATTTATTGTGAACTGTTTCAATTCTAAGACATATCTTATTCAATTTATTTTCAAGATCTTGGCAAATGAAGAATGTGTATATTTTAATGGTAATGGGACAATGGGAAATAGCGTTTGTGAGCATTGATTTTTAGTTTGTTAAAATATAAGCACTAATAGCAATGTTTGCCATATTCCCATGTTTTTTTATATATTTGGAATATATAATGGTCCTAGAAAATAACCATGTGTCCTTAGAATAAAAACAAATGACTCTATATTTTCATGTTAGAAAAAAATATAATTGAAAACAGCTAGTTGTTAGAATTTTCTGTAGATTGATTTGATAGACTCCTGGAAAGCACAGACAATGAGTTTTGATAAATGTTATTTGCTTGAAGTCAACATGTACTTAGTGTACTATAATGTGCATCTGAGAAAAGAATCTGGAGATAATTCATTCTGTAAAAGTCAATAAATGGAACTTTGGAATGGCTGGAGAATTGCAGCCTGTGTGGTAAAACCAGCTGTATGAGGAAGAACACTATAAAAATAGGTACATATATAAAAGCAAATAGGTTTCCTGTTACTTTGATGTGTGTACCTTGAAGTGTTATCAGGCTATTCCCAGAAACAAAAAATAGCTTGGAGAGTGCATTCATGATGTTTAACTTATGTTTAATTTTGGCTGTTACATTCTTTTGCTAACTTCATTTAATTATTTTAAAAATATCTGATAATGCAAATTATGCATGATTGTTGCCTTACTCTGTACTTACTTTGTGGAAGATATAAATGTTCCAGTCTACAATGTTTCTACAATGGTTATATGTTTGTAACAGTTAAGTGCAATATTGTTAATGCTTCTAGTCATTATTTTTTAATTTGATTGTTTAAGTGCATTATATAAAAATATGGCATTTGTTTTAATTGAGAATCAATTTATTTATAGATCCTCTCAAATTTCCCAGTTTGATTTGTGCAAACATACAATAGATTCAGTAACAATTGTAATGTTTGTCGAAGTGTAAATATCTTTAGATTTCATTCTACCCTCCTGCAGAAATAAACACCACCCTTTTATGAGCAGAGGTGAAGCTATCCAACTCACTATTTTCTAAAATATTTTTATAGTGGAAAATTAAAAACCCATCAGTTACGGAAGTAGGATACAATTATGTCCTTTTTATCAATAGAAACACTAAGAGATCAAAATACTTTTCCTCAGGTCCTCAAATCTTTTGTGGAGGTTTGGGAAATCTGAAGCAGGCCAAGAAAAACAAGAGAAATTCAGATAGGGAGAAAAAAAAACTTCCTTTCTCTTCTTTATGCATTCTGGATTCTCATTCTTTTTTAGGCCAAAAAAAGCACATTTGATTCACGTTTCAAAATTCATGGCTCAGTGTAAAAAAGTCATCTGACGTATATGAAAGGGTAACATGAGAAGAAGCCCATAAAGGTGTAACCACTGAAAGCAATCAGTTACAAAAATGGATATGTTCCTGGATAAGTGGTTTGAATACAGCAGCCAAGTACACACTCTAATGCTTTAGTTCTGCCAGCACCAACTGCTCAGAAAGAATGGAAGCATAGATAGTGATGCAACTTTATGTAGATTCCCCTTTCCCCCCCTTAGAAATATATATATTCAAGAAAGGGAGAAAGTAGATGAATTACCTAGAGAATAACTCATTAACTATCGTCAGCAGGAAAATGCTGATACATGAAATCAAATCAGTTAAGGCTTCATGTGATCGTTTCTGCCATCATGGGATCACTTTCTGAAAACACATTTAGAATTGATTCTAAACTTCACTGTAATCGTTAAATAGCTAGTACTGTGTTCATTTTTTAGCAATACTATTTGTTTTTCTTGACAGTTTTAACAGTTCCAAAACTCATTTATTTCAGCAATCTAATGAAAGTGTGAAGTATAAAGAAAAAGACTTTAAGGTCATCTTTTCTGGCAAGCATTCTGACATCTAAGCAGACATTAGATGCAAAAGAGTAGCTCAGATGAAAAGATTTAGGCAAAAAAATAAATAACAGAACACTCAAAAATTCTCAGTCCAAGAACGTATATTTAGTATCACAACCAAGTGCAGAAATGTTTTTTCATGCAAATACTTCCTCATCAAGCATTTTCATTTAGTTCCTTATTTAGTGGAAAGTAGAATAAACAGCTTAATTGTTTTTTTTTTAAATCTTGCTAATCTTTTGTAAATCACCAGAGTTGTATTTGTAGATTGTAAGCCACCACCTGATGCTCTGGATTTTAATGTATCAGAGATAAACCTGATAACAGTTTATTCATAAACAAGGTATTTATTATAATGTCTTCCTATTCACTGATAAAATAATCTCAAAGCAGGGAAACAACAAATTTACAAAAACAACTATTTTATAATTAGAATAAATGTCAAATTGAACTCAGCTAGTAATTACATGGTCAGATTCACATTTTTTTTTCTTGGCAACAATAAGGAAGTGGTTTGTTACCATTCTCTGAGATGTTTTTAGGTTTGCCTGCCCTCTTGTATCTTGATGTTCTCCCATCCAAGAACTGCAGGTAGTCACAATTTTGTCATCATTTGTTCAGAGATCATTTGAACAAATGACAGTGCTGAAGGGTGTAATGACCAGTCCCCAAAGCTATGATGGTTATAGCACCCCTGCATTCACATGATCAAAATTCAGGCACTTGGCAGCCTGCTCACACTTATGACATCACACTTCAACTCCCCCTATTGTCCTAACTGTCTCCTGTCTATGACCTTTTAGCTCCCTGCATATTGTGACACTTGCTGCCCTGGATGATATTCACTGTCATCTTGTTCCAACTGCTGATGAGGCATCCCTGCCCTGGCCCTTTGTGAGGCAGATAATGGCCGCACAAGGCTAACTTCCCCAGGTTGCTTGCAGCAATTTCCTTGTAGGGAAGATGGCCTCATGTGGCCAGCAGCTGCCTTTTGAAGGGCCAGGATAGGCATATCTTGTCAGCAATGGGAGAAAGAAGGTGGTGAATGATGACAGGAGTCTTGGTGTGGGAGGCAGTGAGGGAGGCTGAGAGGTAAAGTCACATGATGTTGTGCTTCATAACTATATCACTTAACAATGAAAATTCTGGTCAATATTTTGATTGCAAGTTAAGGATTACCTGTAACCAGGTCCAGCCTTGCTAAGTTATTTATGATTAGTTAAGTCATCTGCTGTAACTATAATTAAAAATTCTTTAAATATACTCCCATCAAAAGGGAGCTCAGAAATAGGTGATTTTGGTAGCAGCTTCAATGCTGTGAATAATCTTTCCACAGAGATATAGATTTTTCAATATTGTTAACATTTAGAAAAACTGCAAATATGAGTTTTTCAGTGAGCATTTAATACCTTCTGCAGCATTGAATCTTGTTTTGGCTTTCTTTGATATTTGTTTTAATTATTAATAATTTAATTAATAATTAATCCTATATTAATAAGTAGGTATTCATTTAATTATTATTAATTGAATGTTTAATAATTATTAATAAATATTGGAAGCTATTTCCAAGCTCCCTTTCTACTCTGTTATTATTCTGTTGTTGTCCTACAGTTTTCTGGTATATGAGCTGTCTAGACTTTTTTTTCAAAATGACGGGTATAAATATTGCACAAACACCCCAAAAAACTTTGTGAGTTGGCATTGAAGACTCAACACCAACCATAACCAGGTAATTTAACAACTGTTCCATTAGTAGGATATGTCTTCTTATCTGGGTAGATGCATAGCAAAGAAGGCAATGTAAAGCTTTATAGGCAACCAAAAACACGTTGAACTTAACATAGTAGTACAATTCTAGCACAATTCAGGTTTGGA